ATTGCCAGCAGCAGTGAATAAGAATTTGGTTAAGAAAAAAATCACTGATTTTTTCAAACAATAATTTGAGTTCTTCAACTCAAAGGAAAGCCTGATTCAGAATATATGGAGATCTGAGCAGAAAAAAATTTTTCCAGTCATTTTTTTGATAATCTCGTTACAACAAATTATCCGTTATAACAAACTTTTTCTGCGGTCCCCAGAAGTTTGTTGTAACGAGATTTTCCTGTATTTCAAAATAGATTTGAGTGTCCGGAACGAATCGATGGATTTTAAGAATATCCTCAGGGGCAAACCTTGGGTTTCCTCTGATATCCTGAACAGAATTGTTGTCTTGACGAATGATTTTCGTTAGAAGAGGCAGCATTTTAATTACATGGCAATCAAAACATTTTATTGTATGTTTCGATTTTGTATAATTGTTCGTGTTTTTTAATATATTTCGCTTTTCGCAATGAAGCGATGAGTTTTAGGAATATTCTCAGGGGAAAGCCTTTAATTTCCTCTGGTCTCCTGAACAAAAATTGGCGTCTTGACAAAGAAATTTCGTTAGGTTAAAAAAATTTCATAACTTTCAATAAATCATAAGCATTACAATCACACGACGTCACGCAATATGTTGTTTCGTACATTGATTTCATGAAATTAAACGTTTTTATAACAAATTTCACTTTTGAAAACGAATCGATGGGTTTTAAGAAGACCCTCACAGGAGAAAGCCATCTCCTGAAAAAAATGTGTGCCTTGCCAGATAAATTTCGTTAGGCGATAAAGCATATATTTTTCCCTGCATTGATTTTGAATAATTTTATCAATGGCTTTTTGAGAATGAAATCTTTATGGAAAAACCATCTCCTGAAAACAAAAATTTCTGGTCTTGACGAATGGCGATAAATAATATATTTTTCCATGCATTAATTGATTTTATATCATTTCATCAATGGCTTTTGAGATTGAAGTTCTCATGGGAAAGCGATCTCCTGAAAAAAAATGTGTTGTCTGGACAAATAGATTTTGTTGGGCGAGTCGAGTCGTCTTTACAATTACATGGCACTCGAAGTATTTGTTTTATATTTATACTGTGTATTGATTTTGCACGACTGAATTTTTTTTCTTGAATTTGTATAAAGGCGGGGCTGACGGAGTGACGGCTACGAACACAGTCTCGGGGCTCATGGGTCTCAACGCCTCGGGGTCTCCGTGGCCAGCCGTGGGCAAAGAAAAGCGAACCACTTACGGAGGGGTTTCGGGGAATGCCATCAGACCGATTGCCCTCAGGGCAGTTTCCGCCATTGCCAGGGCGATGCCAGGCTACCCCATCTTGGCCACGGGAGGCATCGACTCTGCTGACTCTGGGCTCCAGTTTCTGCAGGCTGGGGCCTCAGTCCTCCAAGTTTGCAGCGCAGTGCAAAACCAGGATTTCACTGTTGTCGAGGATTACATCATTGGACTGAAAGCGCTGTTGTACCTGGAATCCATCCAAGGACTGTTGCCCAGGTGGATTGGACAATCTCCTCCAACCAGGCCTCACCAGCTGGGCAAACCTGTGCTGAAATTGACTACTTCTACGGTAAAAAAAAAAAAAGAATGCTGCAAACCCCCCTTCAGAACTTTATGTAGAAGAGGGTGCGCAAAAATCATAAATGCTTCTAATAATTAATGTATCTACTCAATTATTTATGTAACCCATGCATTTTCTCCCACATGGGAACAAAAAGTGGGATTGAAATTATTGGGGACAGATGTTGCCTCAATATAAGTTAGAATAAAGCTGGATCCAAAGAGTAAGTGCGTAAATGAAACACAGTAATCAGCCCAGTACAGGGGCCAGAGTTCCTTTATGGAATTCCTGGCTTAAGAAGTAAGGATATATTTTACAGGAATAAATCAACTGCTCGGCAAGCTCTTGCTTCTACTGAATAACTGGGTAATATGATGATAATATTCTACTCTGCAATTTACTAGCTTAACAATCAATACTTAACCTTCACAAGGATTTATAAACCCTTCATAAGGTTTGTCATTCAATTTTGAGTGTTAGATTAAACTCTAGAAGACATTAAGCAAATTACATCAATATTTCTATGCTTGCCTAACGGAAATTATGCAGTACAAACTATTTCTGCAAATGTCTTAAATTCTTGTGCAAATCATCCTTGGACCACATTGCAAATTATAGATTATTGAAGAGAAGGAAATTGAATTTCATTGAATTATAATTTCACTTGAGCAAAACTTGACAATTTTGGCTATTGCTCTTGAATTGAAAAAATGTTCCACGAAAAACTGGAATGATCCATATGTATCGGCATACTTTTTTTTCAACATACTTCAGCAGCTCAAAGATGGAGGTGGTACTCGAGTGAATACAGTCCATGTGGAAGTTGCGCAAGACTGAACGAATACTGTATTTTCCAACCAGTTGCGTTTTGTTAGTTGTGCGGAATTTTCGATACATTTCAACTGGTATGGCACATATGTTTGTTACATTATTCTTGAATAAAGTCCGACGAAAGCATGAAATCTGCATTGGAAATAGCAGATTCGTTTATACTGGGAGGAATCTGAAATTTTCAAAATTCCGTTGGTCGACTGAGTTGCCATTATTAATTACCGCAAGTTTTACTGATTCCTGCAAAATTCTGCGATAACATGAAATGGAAGAATCTGTGGATTCTTCGGTTACTGAATGCTAAAAATTTGTGTTTTTGTAAAATTAAACTATTTGTTTCTGAAATTTAAATCTATACCTCTGGAATAAATCAAGAGAATAAAAATACTGTGAATTGCCTGAATTTAAAAAAAAACGAAAAATAGATACTTGCCATCCAGAACTATTCGCTTGAAGTCGGAAGTTTTTACAACATAATCATATGCCAGAAATAATTTAATCTCTTTCCTGATGTATACTGTATAAGAGCGTGTTTCATGCATGTGTGTTTCATACATTATTTTATGAAAAGAAGAATAGGTCAGTGACTATCTATCTTTGCAGGCAGGAAACTAGACACATTTCTTGATTTTATCCTTCAATTTTCTGCTTCCGACCTTCATTAACAATTTTCATTGCAAGGGATTATGCCACTCATCTCTGATGATTTTTTTTTTCCACAGGTACTACCGAACTTCGGACCTTTCAAGCATGAAAGGGAAGACGCAGTGGTGAAAATCAAGTTGACTGACGACTTACTGGGTGGCGATAAACGCGACGCTTCCGTCAGACCCGGAAACTTGCCCTTGGTTCCAGTGCCAACAGTTCAGGACGTGATTGGAAGAAGTTTGGGAAATATCGGGTCATACAGTGACCTGGATAACAAGCAGCAGGTTGTCGCTGTCATCAATGATGTGAGATACCGTTTTTCAATTTATTCTGTCATTTATGAAGGGATCTAGAGCAAAATTGTTGCCAATCAGTATTCATTACTCTACACGTAATTGCGTATCTTCCGAGGTACCCTAAAGAAATTTCGGGTACAGGTACACCGGTTCCTGGGCACTCCATGTTTCCTGTTGAAATTAAATATTTTATCAGTCTTCACGCCTGTTTCACGAAAATCGTTTTTAATGTTCTTTCGGGTCGGTCTCGCCAACAGGAAATCAGGAAATTTGTCTAGACCAAAAACAATTTTTTCAGAAAACTATATGAAAAATTTTTACTGAATTGTTTGTTTAGCGATAATATTGCTGTAAAATCTCGTTAACGACAAAGCCGTGATCGTCGTTGTGACAAAAATTCGTCAAAAGATAGCATACTTTAACATGGTGGGTTCTATACTGTATATTTGAAATATTTGTAAACAGTGGAATATACTGTATAATAGCTTCTGGATAAGGAAAATCTAGCGTGTGAACCAACTTTTCTCGTGTGTAGTGTTTGAGATGCATTCTAAACTGATGCCTCACTTGATTTTATCTTTCGAAAGAAATTTTCGAGACAAGAGAAAAATTATCGAATAATACTGTATTTTAAATTTTTCAGAAATTTATTCGAGGTATTGTCACTGTAAGGTTTCTTCGATCACAGTACAGTATTTGAAATACAGTATTCGTGAGCATTATAGAAAATTTTCCAACTCCGGGAGCATCACAATTTAGCGTGTGGACCAAATTTCCTCCTCTGTGATGTTGAAGTACATTCTAAAATGCTTTTCTCCTTCATTTTATCTTTCGAGAGAATTTTTGAAGTAGGGAATTGTAATTAATCGAATAATAGTTTGTTGCAAATATCCCTTTATCGTCATCCATCCAACGAATCTAAATACTGTAAGTGAGTTTTTTAAGTTTTTTTTTTTTTTTTGGTGAATAACAAGTCAGCAAGCAGTAAATAAGTAGCGCTCATAAAATTCATGAACCAAACTCGCTCACTCACTCTGTAATTTTGAAAATATTGACTCGTTTTTGGGGGGAAATTCTCATCAATAAAATGAATACTGTTCGCAGGACATGTGCATCAACTGTGGGAAGTGTTACATGACTTGCAACGACTCCGGATATCAGGCCATTTCATTTGGCAAAAAGACGCACATTCCCTTTGTCAACGAGGCGGATTGCACTGGTTGCACCTTGTGCTTGTCAGTCTGTCCCATCATTGATTGCATTTCGTAAGTTTGAACTGCCAGTTTTGTATCATTTAAAAAAATATTTATTTATTTATTCATTTATTTTTAAGAATGGTTCCGAGAACAACTCCGTTGGTCGTCAAGCGTGGCACACCCTTTGCTGGCAATGAAAACTCTGCTCCTTCTCTCGGAACTCGTGATTCCGCCAAGTGCCAATAATTTCCCGCGAAAAAATAAAAATAAAGAGAAATCTGAGGAGTGAGGACTAACGAATTTTGAGAGATTTTCGTGAATGAGATTTCTGAATTCCTGGTAGTTTCCTCTCTGAATATTTTTGTCTGACGCCGGACAAGCAAACCTTCCCTGTGTGCAGTTTATCTTCGAAAATTTTAGTGGCGATTTCAGCGATTTCAAATTTAAAAAGTCCAGTGAAGATTTGAAGAGAAATCTAGAGTACTGACGAATTTTGAGAGATTTTCGTGAATGAGATTCCTCTATTCGTGATAGTTTATTTTCTGAACTCATGATTGTTTATTTTCTGAATATTTTCAACGGAAGGGATTTGAAACGGACACATCTTCCCTGTGCAGTTCAGCTTTGTGAAATTTAGTGAAGATTTGAGCAATTTCAAAACATGTGTAGGACATCAAGACTGGCTGATGAAAAGGAATTTATGACTGATCGATGGATGATATTTCATTATGTACGTACATAAGGTTTGCTAAACAGTAATCGGGGAAAAATACAGTGGATCATTTTGAAGTCCGTGTGCTTTTGCAAATTCGTGTGCATGAAACTAAGTCGTGCGAAGTGGAAGAAAAATGCAGCATGACGATCCAAGTTTGCTCTGTTTATAGTGGACTTGTGCAGTTAAAATGAGGTTGTATATATGCTGTACAGTATTGAGATTTAATAAATAATTTGTGAATCCATTCTCTGTCATATTCATGCCTTTTGAAAATAATATTATCAGAAACTTTTTTGAAAGCATCTTGTCTGCGCTGATCAAAAATATAAAAAATTTAAAAGTTCTATAGGGTGGTTAAGCCTTGTTTACAGATTTCCAGCCGAAAATGTATTTATATCAAAGGTAGCTATTCAAAGACTGCTATTTGTGTGCGCTTAATTTCGTAATAATTAATGTGAATTGGCAAATAAGGTTTTGGGCCATCAAGTCGAAGTTTTCCACTAAAAACGATGCAAAAAATCACTAGTATAATTCATTCGTATCGAAACAACGCAGCTGTTATTTCTAAAAAAAAGCTTTCTGGTGGATGGTGGTCAAATTCAACTATTCAATTTGTATTTTTCCGGATTCATGAAAAACGTGCACTGTGATGGGAAAAATGGGCAGCTATTCGAAACGAAAATCGGGATCCGCCGAAGTCTGTTATGCGCATCGGTCTTCATCCGCTTCGGCCGTAAACCGGGGTATTATTCTCAGCTCACACTGCATTTCCCAAAGCCGAAGGCATTGGCGTTTATTCTTGACAAATACAGCTTCTGCTCAGTTGTTGTCTTTTTCCGAGGGCCGATGTAAAATGCTCTGATGCAGAATCTGTAGTGAGTGTCCCAATAGTCGGTGCTTTTGTCCTTGTAGACAACGTCTCCTTTGTGCAGAATTTCAGCCATTCGCCATTCTTCGTGTCGCTTGAAAAGCCCCGTCTCTAACCACAGTAGCTGGGACACATCTTCGTTGGTATCTAGCCAATTTAGCACGCGGCGAATTTGCGCATCGCGGGTCTCCTCTGCTAGGCTTTGCTTTTCCGGCGCGAAAATTTTGCAGGAAAGTGACAGAGATCCTGAGAAACTTGTGGCACGGTTTTCTGCTATATACAATTCGACATATTATCGATCATAATCTAACCCATCACAATAAAAATTCAAACATTAAAAAAGGGTCACGCTTTTACAGCAGGAATCAAGTATTTAATTGTTTGCTGTATTTTTGGAACTGGTTCTAAATAAGATTACTTTTAAACTTTCATTCCTGAACTTTTACTCTCTGCTTGGTTGGATAAATTATTGGTGACATGTGCATTCGTTCATCTGAAAATTTACCAGCAGTATTTTACGGAAGAAGGGATTCATTTAATGAAAGGACTTCGAAAGAGGAGTACAGCCAATGTAGGTTTTGGTTTAATTCAATATTTTACACTTGTATTTGTATAAAAAATATACAAAAATTCAAAGTATTACGGTGGTTAAGCCTCAATTACAGATCTCTAGTCGAAAATGTATTTATATCAAAGAAAACTATTGCAAAAGTGTTTTTTAATTTGGGCGTTCAATTTTGCAATCATTTCATTTGAATTTGAAAATTAATTTAAAAAGAAGTGCAGCATAATTAGCCTCAGGAGGCTCAGGTAGACAAAAAATTTCAATTATACAATAATTACGGACAATTATGCTTGAATTTATTTCTGCCTGGAAGCTTTTGCACACAGATCTTGAAGAAATGTCGTTCTGGAGGAGCCATCAATACCTAATACAATTCACGCATGATTAAAATTATTTTTACAAATAACGCATTTATTGCATCATGTCACAACTGCCAATGGTTGTTTTTGAACTGGATTGAAAATTTTTTAAACATTTTATAATGCTTGGAATAAAATAAAATATGTGGAAATGTCAATTACTGCCGAAGTCACGAATAAAACGGACAGTTGGACTTGATTCAATCTTTCACTTTCACTCAAAGATATGAAGTACTGTACTGTACTGTACTATACAAAAGTTTTCGAAACAAATTTCAAAACGTAAATAATATATACCTCAATATCGAGATTTTAAAGAAAAACAATCATAACCTGTGATTTCGTCTCGGAAATCGTCGAGCTCTCGAACATAAGCGACTCGCAAAATCCGCAAGATGTCGACGCTAGCAAGTGCTGGCTCCACAAAAAAGGTCTCAGTTTCGTCGGTGCCGTAGAATTCTTCTCGTTGCGGGATGGTTTGCACAGTGACGACATTCAAGCTGACTTGTTGTCTTAGCCAAGTGTCGGCACGTTGCAAAACGCTGTAGAGGCTTTCGTATTGCCTTCCACGGTTGAGAGTCAGGCCCATCACAGTGAAGTCTAGGATTTTTGGGGGGAAATCCGTGATGGCAATCATGACTCTGCGAGGAGCTGCTTCTTCCAAGAAAATCCTGCAGAATAAATTGACCTTTTATCAGAAAAATTAATTTGATGCCTGTTTATTATTCTGATAAAATAAAAAGGTTTGACAAATTGGATTTTCTTCAGGTGTACGTCAGTGTGGCAGAATGAATTGAACTTTTATAAAAAAATCAATAGTCCAATGAAGCTGCACATAAGCTGTTTATTATTCCAATAAAACAAAAAGGTGTGCCAAATTGGATTTTCTTCAGGTGTACATCAGTGTGGCAGGATAAATTGACCTTTTATAAAAAAATCAATTTTATGCCTTGTTATCCAAATTCCCTAGAATTTTAAAAGATCGGTGAGTTTTAAACGAAGACTTACTATTACGTCTAACAGCAAGTTTGTTACCAACCTCGATTCTTTTAGATAACAAATTCTATCCTGGTTTCTTAATTAATGTCTTCCGCGTACTTTGCGGGCCAGAAGGATTTTTAGTTAGTCCAAATAAAATAGCTACCAGGATCTCACGTAGAGAGGCAATAAGCTTTTATTGACAGCGCACAACAACAACCAGTCGCGAGTGCTCGGGCACAAATGCTGCTGAACAGAATGCAGCATACCAGATTTAAACATACGCGGTGGTCAGCCAGCAGGTTATACAACTCGCTGGCTGGCCCGAAAAAATAAAGATACATACACACACACAAGTCCACGAGAGGACAGCAGGCTATTCAGCTCGCTGGCCTCAGGTGCGCGTGATGGGCGTATTATGCAAGCGCCCTATTCTACCATTTCCAAAGCTCGGGCTTTTACTAGGAAGAAAGAGAGACCAGAATCACGCATGAGGAATAAGAGAGAAAACCGGGCTAGGGAGCCATCAAGGGCTTCATAAAAATAATGGATCACAAATCACCCCGCACAAATAAGAAATGTAGCTCCTGCGGTGTAAGTGCGTTGAAGAGCTCATTAGTGCGACGACTCACGTTTCCTGCGCTGAGAATGTGTGGAAATGCATATACCATGCATTCCAAGCCTGATCTTTACCTCTGGAGTTTACCAGGGTACAGCAGTTCATCAATACTGATGCTGCAGTCTGGAGTTGGCATTCAAGATGTCAACCTCCCTTGACAGGTTGGGTGATTTATTACATTCTGTGATCTCACTCATTTTCATGATTGTTTGTTTTAGAGTGTTTTGTAGTCCCGTATGTTTTCTTTTTCTCTCCTTAATGCTTTTTAAGCGTTCCTTTTCGTCTTTCCTTCAGTTTTTGCTCAAAGATCACGAAAATAAAAGATCAATAGGTCGCGATCGGTGATCTCGGAGATATTGGCGATTCGGTACTCTTTTGCAAAAATAAAAAGTTCTAACGATTGGCATCCAGTAATATTTTCAGAAAACACTTTTTGGTGCGTGAAGAATACGTTTCTGCGGAAAAATCGGCAAGGAACCATCGAAAGTTTTCGCAAAGGCCCTTAACAATGGTAATCCCTTAGAAGGGAGAGGGCTACTCAGGTCTAACTGTAATTTCGCGTTTCGAACAGATTTCACTGGTTTTGCTGTTTCTGCTGGTCCTGACTCATCCGGGGGAGGCTAAGTGTGGCGTCCAAGATGGCGTCTTTGTCTGTGACAACATCTGTGATGAGGGAGTGTCCGAAGCAGCGGATTTCGGTGGAACTGTGAATTTTGTTGGACGCACGCTAGATTTGAATTGCGTGCGGTTCTACGGCATTAAGGTCAGTTTGTAGCACCAGATGTCGCTTCCATGAATGTAAAATGAGTTGTGGTTGTGCAGGACATTAGATTGTACGGTCAAACTTGTTGTATCGGGCGGGTTTTGCCGGCGGTGATGCGGATCGTCACGCCTTGGGATTTTTGTTCTGGTCCGTCCGAGAAGGTCCCGTTTAAGGAAATTCTTATGACAAGGGTGACCACAGCAACCACGACAATGATCAGCATGACCGTAAAAACCACCACAGGTATTAATTTGTAAAATTAACCTATTGCTCGGAAATGATAGAGGTAACCTGATTTCAGAGCATATTTTTGAAACATCTCCTGCTCCTGTGGTGCCTGCCTCTCAGATTCCAAGGGTTCCAACGTATTCAACTACGGTTTTGTCCTTTTCGCCAATTTTAACGGCGCTAACGACGGTGACGGAAAGTACTTGCCCCACTAATGGTTCTGCTAATGTTTCGGTCATTTTTGAGAATGGGCAGGCTAGAATAGCTGCCAAAATTCCCGGAGCATTAGCGTTGAATATGGCAACGGCGGCTCTTAGCGGTGTAGGGATGACCATAGTGGGTCTTCTTAGTGCTTTGGGTATTTACTTTTTGCGCAAGAAGGTACGTTTTTTGATAGTTTCTCCAATAGGCTTGTTTTTAAGTGCAACAATTTGTTCTTCCTTTTGCTACTAACCAGTGCTGTACTAAAAAGACTAAAAGATCATCTTCTAAAACAAAACCCAAAGATAGACCAGAGGAGATTGAACTTTTCCGTGTCGGGAATTTGTCCGTGATTAACAAAAACTTTGATGATGTTTATGGGACGAGTTTTCCGGCATTCAAACAAAATTTTGCCTCAATTAAGGCTCGTTATCCTCGGGTTTCAACCTTTAAACCTTGTTAGTATTGCATGGCTGATTGCTTTGCTCGTTGGGTGTTTTGTCATTCTCTTTTCTGTTATAGCCTTGGTTGCGCCGGGCCATTTCAGCCTGGAGGACCAGGAGGATGAGGTCAATTCTACAACACCCATCGTTCAGAGCAAGGGAAGAGTTGGAGAAATCGTCGCCATTGTCCACTGAAGGGATTTTGGACCCAATTTTTGACTTTGTTCATGCTTTTGGCGCTATAGATTTTGATGCGATTTTAAACGAAAGCTTCGACGCGGATTACGTGTCTGTCAGTGGCGGTTAGAAAGCTTTTTGCGCGCTTTTGCTAGAATTTGTACAAGCTAGGAGGCAGCAATAAGAGAGGCTGTTGCTTGTAATGATGTGTTTCCTTGACAATTTCTTTTAATTTGACAATGATAACACTCCAGTTGTAGTATTCATTTTCAGCCTTGGATAAGTACTGGGTTTTGGTGCCACGTGAACAGGAGTGTTGGTGGGAACCAACTCTATAGTAGCACCAACGTCATGCATGTCAATTGCCTCAAGACGTCTTCTACGCTTCACAACATCTTATTTTGGCGACACAAAAATACACAATAAACACCAAAATAAGAGTTAGTAAAATGATAAGTACAATAAGATATATATACCCATTGTCCCGAAAATGAATTTGTAGCGCGCTAATGTCCTCTATGATGTTTTTCACAGTTGGGATAACTGCGGGGACTTCGTTAACGACATTTATCTCCACATTTTCAAGTTTAGGAGTATGATCCTTAAAAGGACCATTCACAATGGTATATCTACAGTTCTCCTTAAATTGAATAATTCCTGAATAAGGCATTTTGTAAGAGTTTTCACTTGCTGCGGTCTGCTTTTGTTCTGACCCAGCGCAATATTGCGTTATTCTACCTTTATCATTATCAATAAAGGCAAAATTGTCTCTATCTAATTGAACGACAAGATTATCAGGTACGCTTGAAGGAATCAAGGGGTATTTTGATTTGATGGTTGACTCTAAATTGCCACCTTGTATTGCTTGTAAACAGGGATCAGCTACACGAACAGGGGGTTGTCTAAATCGGCAAATTCTGCAATCTGCATGACCATTTTGGGGTAAACAGATAGGTAATTCATCGTAATTTAATGCAAAAAACTTGGATCTCTGCGACAACAAATATGGTTGAGTAACATTTACCTTCATCCACTTGGGGGTTCCCATGTAGGTATCTTCAGCGATGGGAATGCTATGCACTCTAGCCAATTTGTATCGATCACTATTTCTCAAGATAGGAACAATGATAGTTACCCAATAAAAACAGAGTTCTTTTTCTATTCCTTCGTCGTCACAATTTTGAGATGTTCCAAGAGACAAAGGATGTGAACGCAAAATTGACAATAACTCGTGCGTTTGAAGTTGACTAATGGAAGGTTTGTTTTTGGCATCTATTAACTTGACAAGGGATTTTTCTAGATCTTCGTTCGAGATTAAAGTACTGGGAAACTGAAACCGGTGCAATAAATTGATATCTTTGATCAAGGAGATGATGACTTCAGACACTTGGGTCAGTTTGAGACTCAAACTGAGAGATCTGATCCAGTGATCAACGTTATCATCATTTGTTGCATTAAGACTTTGAGGTAGAGTTAAAGTAGAATCAAATAAGTTATTACCTTTGATTCTAAAAGGGGAAGCAAGAGATATAAGTATTCTCTTAGAGGGAATGACGTTTTGAGTCAATTCCTCTTTTTGTCAAGATATTAATAGTAACAAGTCCAGAAAAGAGAAATCTCTAGGAAAATTCTTTGCTTGTCCCTTTAAATGTTGTTTCAAATTTTTTATAAGACTGCCAAAATGCAAGCTTTTTGTTTTCAACATGTCTAGAGACACATCAGACATCACATTCGTTGTTAACTTTTCAGCACGAGCATCCGTAAAGGTCTTAATAGCCTTCAAAATATTCACTGAGTGGCGGATAAGTAAACCAGTATCTATTGTTGCTTCTAAAGTCCAATAGCTAGAAGGGGTGCATATTGGGAACATTTCTTCCAATACCACACCAATATTTCCAGGAAAATTTTGAAGAGGAGAAGCTTTATCAAATCGATTAATGTTTGATAAAGTTCCTTTCTCTTGATCAGGAATTTCTTCTATTGTTAATGAAAAAACAATTGGAAAAATAAGAAACAGTAGGTTGTATTTGGAAAACATTTTCGTCCACTAAAATGTTCAATACGTATGCCCCGCTCAAAATCGTACTTGAACTGCGGGTGCTGGTTTCCTGCTTGCCTGCCATCGATGTTAACGTCTGTCTGGTGTCCTTCGTCGGCTTGTTGGTGGGCTGGTTGGCTGTTTGGAACGAGAATGCAACGTTTCTTTCCTTGCGTTTTTATAGTTGTCCTTGTCTCTTTCCTTTCTAGCCTCGCCTCTTGTCCTAGATGGAACGATGTTGCGTTCGTCTAACCCTTTCATGGGGCCCAATTGGGACGGCTTTTTGAGTCGACGAAGCGGCTTTAAAAAGTTTTGCTTTGGTGGCTCTGGCCTTACGCGTACAAAAACTTGTTCGTCACTCGCGGTTGCTCCATCCACTTGATTCTCATCAGGGTCAGTTGCGCCAGAACGCATTTGTTCTATCTGGCGTTCCCTTTCTCTGTCTGGGCTCCGGTGCTGGTCACGCTCTAGCGATGGCCTCGGAGTGCTGAACACGGGCGGCCTCCCTCCCTGCATCACCGTGTCGAAGAGGGTAGGGAGTGACTCGTTACTCCCAGAGAGGTCAAAGAACCAGCCGACTTCGTCCGTAACGTCGGATATTCAATCCTTTGTGCGTTTCAGAATGCCAGGTTTTTTCGGACTGGGTGATGGAACCAGAGTTTCATCAAAACTCATTAAGTCCTGAGCGGAAACAAAGCTATCCGTATTGGTTCCATCTGATACATCTGTTAGTTCCGTTTTGCCTGATTCTGAAACATTACTAGACATGGGTTCAAATTCCACTTCATCGTCTTCCAAATTTCTAGATTGAGGAGCAGGTAGTTTTTTTGTTGGTATGTCTACTTCATCTTCGTCATCTTCTTCAGCTGATTCTCCTGATGATTTTACTGGAGATGGTATAGGTGACGATTTCCTAATATGATACGGACGGACATAACTAATATGTACAACATCCATCCAATCAGGTTGAGCATCATCTTGAACCCTAATTACTACTGGATTGATGACTTCAATTACGGTATAAGGTCCTTTGTACTTGGGGGACCACTTTCTACCCACGTACATGGCTTGCTCATGCCTATGTATCCAAACCTTGTCTCCCTTGCTGTATACGGTGCCCTTTTTGTAGGTGTTTAACCTTTCTAGGTAAGAAGCCTGATTTTTTCTAATGGCTTCCAGGGCGCGTTTCCTTACAGTCTCGATATGATCCTTCCAAGCATCATACTCTTTGATGTCTGTGAACTTATCTAAATCCATATAATTAGGGATCCAGTACGTTCTTGGTT